AGTCGACAAATCACAAAACTCAGTGTGGCAAGGCGGCGGACACTTCCTTGCCCTAAAACCCAACTAAAACTCTCAGAAATGAGGGGAGGCCTATGATCAGCAGTGGAAAGTATATAGGTTGTAAAAATTAATTTTAGCAGACTATTATAAAATCAGCCCCAATTGAAACAAATGCTAAATGTTAGCTCAAGGTTATCTTCATACGTCACTAAAACCCACATCCAAATGTGTTGCTATCGTGGAGCACACCGTACCGTTCGAGCTTTTATTATATTTATTATGTTTGATTTTGATTAGGAAGTTGATTTAGCGCTTTTAATATGGTCTGCCTCGTAGCTTTCGCAAATCCTTGTAAACTATTCTGAGTGTTTCCAATACACTTACTGTACTCAATACTTTATAACACACTCGTAATTACTACCTTCGCCTTCTTTATGTGCTATTTCACGTTTTCAAGACTACTTCGAATGTACGAAATGTCTCACATCCTTTGTTTTTAATTTTTTTTATATGGATTTAGTAGTACACTAGTATACATTCTTAAAGCCATATTAGAGCGGCAAAATTATTAATTAATACGAGTAACGAATATATCTGTCAAAATATTTTTAAAACATAATACCTGTTGTGTAAGTTGATAAATTAAAAAAAAAACTCTACGACTCCACGTATTTACTCTTCGTAGATCACCGCCGACTTTTCATAACTAATTTTTCATTCACTCTGAGAGCGACAGGCGCCGTTACAATACCCTTCCATTTCAAGGCTGCGACCGTCACCGCTGTCGCTGCACGCAGCTCATAATTAATCATGCCAAGTATGCAAACAATAGGCGTCAATTCTCATACGAGTGAAGTATGTATTATGTAAGAATTCTGGGCACACATAACCGCAGACCGATCATCCTGACCTCCCAAAGGAACACGTTGACCTATTATTTTTCATATATGTGCTTCCGTGCCATACGTAGTGATTATTTTTAATTTCCACCATTTCATTATCAGAATACATCCTGTGCAAATAAATACTGTTGGAAGTGTGTTAAGAGTCATTTTGTTGTTATGATAACTCCTTTTTGATTTAACAGTTACAAAATATTAGGAAACAACGACTGCGCGCGACAATACACTCGCTTAAAATTTTGTATATAAATTACAGTGCACTGTCTCGTATGAATAAACATAATGTTAATAAAGATTTAGAAAAGACAAACATGCTAATCTTTTATGCGTGTAAAGCTAAATAGGTAAATAAAATTTATTCTGCGTTAGCTTATTTAAGGAAATATAATTTTCTTATTTAGGCTTCCGTAACAGGGTAAAAACAAACCCTATTAATAACACTCTGCTACCTATCTGCTCTACTATTCGTCTACCTGTCCGTCGGTTTGTCAGTATGGCACGGACCTACTAGCTCGTAGATGGAGCAGACCTGATGATTAAGATATTTGAAATGTTGATGTAAAATGAATTATAAATAACAGTTTCAATTAATATTTTTTCTGGGGATAATCGTGTGGAGTCTTAAATTCATTTATTAGAGTGCAATTGTCATTTTATTCTTTTTGTGAAGAAATAGGGTCACAAATTTATAAGTTTTAGACCGTTATTGTTACTCGATCTTTCCAAAACGAATTTAAAAAATCTGTATATTGTGTGTCATATACTAACAGTAAGGCACTGAAATATAGATTCATAAATCGTTGTTTGTAAGCTATGAGAAACAAACGAAAATTGTTTAGATTAATATTATAACATTGGTTACATTTTACTTTTGCGTTAAACAACCCATTTCACTACAAATGAATTTTTGACTCTGTAACATCGTGTATATACTAACTCATTTCCATTCCTAGTATTTGCAGAAATTATATCACGTTTTTTTAATCATTAATGTCTTTGTGTGAACACCAAACATTTTTTACATTTTCGTAAATATATTGAGTAAAAAAGTAAATATATTAATTTCCTTGTTTTACGGAGACGTTTTCTTCAGGTTTTTGACAAAAATTTGCTCTTTAAGGCCCTCTGCTTTAAAATAAATAAAATTTCAAAATCTTTTTTCCATAGCTAAATATTAATATAAGACATTATAGCCCTTAGTATACCTAAATAAAACTAGTCCCACTGTGACATGCTGGCAACGCTGGCGAGACTTCTACTCTTTTTTATATAGCATACGCTGCAAAATTAATCTGTTTGCTTAGTTTCGATATAATATACCGTCCCCATTAAATACATTAACAAGACTTTTGACAAGACATTTGGTGTTATAAAATTCACACATTTAGTTTTAGCGCTATTTAAAGTTTTTCCGTAACACCAATTGACTAATTTAGATATATCATTATTTAGTTCATACACATTTTAGTAATTTTTAATTTCAGTCTGAAAATCAATGAAGTTATCCCATAAAATGTTAGGTAAGTCATTAATAAAACAAAATGAAACAAAAAGAAGCCGTTAATTGAGCCCTGAGGGACGTCCATTCTACCATACCATTGAGAACAACTATGTGAGTTCTATAACTTAAATTTGAAACAATATATTTAAGAGTAACACATGTCTTTTCATTGGCAAGTCACAAAAAACATCCAAAGTATCCTGTGAACTCTTCCATGCGCTAAGAATTTGTTTATTCAGTTCAACACCTGCAGCAGCTGCAGGGCGACTCCTTGTCAAACTTATTTCGTTTTTAAAGAACAGTTTCTTGTTTCGAAAAACTTAACCTTTGAATTATTATTTTTTAATTTTACCGATTAGGCAATAAAGAAAAAAAGATTAGTGAGGCCCGCTTTACTACCAAATTGGATGAGAAGAATGTACACATGTAAAGATTATTTATGTTCTTTATATATATATATATATATATATATATATATATATATATATATATATATATATATATACATGACTGGTTGACAATAAGAAAAAAATTCAGTGACTATGATATCCATATCGAAATATCAGTGAAATATTTCTTATAAACCATGCCAGCTTTCAAATCTGATCTAAGTTTACCGCTATAATTTAATTGGTAGTTTGAATTGTGAAGCTGATCATACCAGTTGCGCTATCAATTATGCTTCATTTCATCTAAATTATACTAGAAGGTATTTTAAATTTGTGACGGACTGTACAACGTATTGTTAAATATTTTAAAATAACTTTTGACATTATTGTCTAAATGCCTCGCTAGGATTATAATATGAGGATTCATGATAAAGTTCATATCTTAACCTTTGTCTTCCCTTAATAATTCCTTGTGTTGCCCGTCCAATGAATGCCTTGAAAATGTTTTAGTAGTAAACGTATTGATTAAAACTAATTTTACGGATATTTTCCTTTTTATTGTATTTATTTTATTCTTTATAGCCAACGTTTCAAGTCCTTTACAGCACACATAGTCACAGAGGACTGAGGCGACTGATGTCCCGAGATCAGTGTTAACCCTGAGTACCTTCGGCTTTTTAATTATTATTTATCGTCCTATCTAGAAACTTCGGGTATTAAAAATAAAATAAATTAAATGCGATAAAATCCCTAAAAGTAGTTTTAAATTAATTTGTAGTATTCGCGTAAATGTAAGAAATCATTAAGTAAAAGTATTATTAAATTCGTTGCAAAAAAGATTTAATAACGTGTAGTATCATGTAGTGGCGGCATAAGAGAATCTATTCCCTCATATTATTTGTGAGTATAGTAAGAGGCTAAAAGGAAAACTAAAGTAGGATATGGGTAGTATCATATTTCTTATAACAGCTGAAAATAATAAAAAATTGTGGTTGCAAACCCGAGTGCCAAGCGTGGCAACTATGATAAATACATCCCCGAAAAGACAATCTAAAGTGGTTTATGTTCAGCAACCAGTTCGGCTTTTCGTAGGCTCTAATGAATCAGTGAATGAAATACTATAACGATTCACATAAAATGCTTATGAAATAAATTTAACAAATTTTTATTAAAAATATGAAAGCTTTTTCACATATGTTATTTCTAAATTTCTTCAAACGATTTGCTTTAATTTATTGGTACAAAAAGCTTTCTCATCTACTTGCTTTCTGTGAACCAAAGGTACTTTAAACTAATTAAGTGAAACTTTTGCATATCACAGTATAGTTATTGGGAGATATGAAATACGTTCGCAGTATACATGCGCTAAACAAATAAAAAGCACTGAATATTTCATTGTGCCAAGTCCATACTATTACATTCGTCAGTGTCTTCAAACTTTTATTGCATCGTATGCAGTAGCCGCTTATCAAATCTTGACTGATATTGCGACTTTTTTAATATCAAAACTAAAGCAAAACAACTACTACTCACGTAAACAATTTGAAATTGGAACAAGGGTGGCACATACTTTGCATAAAAATACCGGGACGTCAACGTATACAAATAACTTCCTTCTCCTGTCGAGTTACTTTTGGCTTTCCGGTTAAGAGTTAGAACTAAAATTAATACAAATAAAAATATAAATAAATTTCTCCTGTTATTATTGACAAGATGCAAAAAGTAAAGTGGCTAGTGAATACCAATCACGAGACGGCCGGACTGCAGGACTAGGCTAATACGGAGAAATTGTTAGCTACGCCGTAGACAGGTGCTACGTATTGCGACGTTGAACAATATAACGTTAAATTTAAATACAACTTATCCAATTTATTAACAATTAATTAAGGTTTGTAAGTTTTGTGTATATGATATAATTTAATGATAACTTTATTTACTTCTTGGGTATTTTTAATTCATCTTATATATTTTAACATTAATGTATTCATTGTGAACCTATTACATTTTATCAAAATTATGTTTGCAATACCGCTGAAAATAACGATAATTTTAACATATAAAATACTTAATAAATGTTAAAAACTCTTGATTGCTTGTACAACTAATTTCGATTAATCGATGCTAATCATGAGGTGAGAGTTCGACACCGGGTTCTATCGCAAGAATATTTCAGAGCCGGCGCGGTGATAAATCAAACTCGAAACCGTAATGAAAGCGAACGGATCGCGTCGCGAGGAGAAGGGAGGAAAAAATATCACGGAAAAAATCAGGTGCGTCCCCCGGTCGGGTGCCGAGAGAAAAACAGTCGGGCGTCGCGGCGGTGGGCGGGGGTGCCGCCCACCCCCCGGGTGGCGGTCGATGCGGGGCGGGCCGTGCGCGCGCTGGCTCCGGCACTCACACGCTCGGCGCTCGGCAGCACTCGGGCCACTCGGCACTCGGCCGCGCTGCTTCTCTCGCGCCGACGCCGGTCGCGCCGCGCGCTCTCGTCACGTGTCCGCTCCGACTTTATATGTCCAAAGTGCTGAAGTCAGTGCTCCCGATCGCAACCGCGCGAGTGCTCCCGCAGCCGATCTCCGAGCCGGACCCGACCCGTACGCCGCTCAGGGTTAGTACGCCTGGAGTTTCTTTGGCGCCCGTGTTCGAGATAATCGTCGTCGTCTGTGATCAATAGCGCGCGTTGCGAAAAGTTTATTTCGGGAGCGTAAAGTTTTCGAGTGGTGTGCGCGCCTCTGATGCACTTCGCCCAGCCACGAGTGGCTGCCGTCGGCTGTGCGGCGCCGTCGTGTCGCTCTCCCATCTTCGCTCACGGCCTTCGCTAAAAACAACAAACAGATTAATCGACCTGCCCGTGCGAAAGTCCTGAGTGCGAATTTCGGCGGTATCCAATTTGATTTGGAGTAAACCGATACGGCAGACGCAGACCGTAATGTTTTTTTTTTTAATTGACGTTTACTAATACGATAACATTTACGTCGTTACGCTAATAGCTAGAAATAAAATTGTAGGATCGCATGTAACTGTGATATTAACTGTGAACGCTTAAGTTTACCAACATTTCTTTAAATTTTTGGGACAAGATTAATAATTAAAACTTGCACAGTATAAAATACTGTATGAACGAGTATTTACTTTATTTAACTTTTTTATTGCAATAACATAAAAAGCAATGAATATATGTTTTTAAAATATATTTTTTTAAATTATATAAAATACGTATTTAACTCATGATTACAAACTATGTTTCAAAATTGCATGAAGTACATTATAATAATATATGGTACAAAAATAGCGTCGGAAGTATTTACTAATAACAAGTTGTGCTTGTGTTTTCAAACTTATTCAATTTACTTAAAGCAAATCGTTACGGAGTTGAAAGTAAGCAAATAAGAGTGTGAAAATTATTTTTGTGTTGTGCATCGCAAAAAGAACATTGTAATCATTCTGAACGAAAAAGGTACAGTTTAATTTCTTATCAATAACGGCAACCTGTAGCTATTGCATTAATTTCTTACTCGTTCATACATTATAATGTGGCATTGTAAATATTTTATAAAGTAAATTTCATGTCTCTAAAATTAAGAACCACACAATAACATAAATGCCTAAAATGATTTAATTACTTTAACATGCTAATTAATTTTGAGAAATACCGTTACGAAAAAAAACAATTTAAGAAAATTAATAATGAAAGCCATTTACTTAAGACTACTGAATATTACTTTAAAATTTTAGTCCGAGTGTTTACCAATACGTATAGAATATATACGGTAAAAAGCAAAAAAAAATTAAAAGTATCATCTGTTTTTAAAATAATACATTAAGCACAAACGCACTTACATAAACTGTATTCGAATTATCAATAAACAAATTTTAATTGATTTGTAAAAATTAAAATTAATATATTATAACATTTGTAAAAAGTTACTAGCAATTGTACGAAAAGGATAAATTCTCCAAGGAAACTTAAATACGGAATAACGCGGGTAAAATTGTGGTATAAAAATCCAGAGCTTTTAATACTTCTTTTGCGTGACTTGTCATAAAAAGTCAATCAAAAAACATAAGCCGCATATCCTTCATTTGTTTTGTGTTAGTCACAGACTATTTATTCCAACGTAGCAGTGTGCGACGCGTATTATTTCGAATGTAATATTTATGTAATTTCTGTCATTTTGTTTATACACATAAATAAATCAGTAGGTAGTATATTTACTTAACTGACATGAAATAAATTATATTATATTTGCATTATTAAGAAGTCTACGTTAAAACGTGGCAATATTATTGTATTACATTATAAACTTCGTATTCAACAAACGTATCGCATATTTTATTCACGAGATATAGAAAAAAAAATAAAAACATATAATTTGAAGCTAATCACCACGTTTAAATATTTATTAACTTCGGTATTTAATGTAAAGTGAATTAATTCAATATGTTAGGTGAGAAAAATAAACAAAATTTTAAACTGAATAATTTACGAACCCATAATAAACCTTGGAGTAAATATATTATATTAATATCTTTTTATATAAAACTGGCAATTCTAAATGGCTACTGCAGACTTTGGACGAACACCTGCAATAAACCTGCGACAAAGAAAGAAGATACAATTTGCGTTACCATCTCTGAGGACTAAGTTGGAATGCTTCACGTCCTGTTATTATAATAGATCTCTAAATGCCCTTTAGACCAGAACAAAGCAGTGCAAGCAATGCTATTAGGCGGTTGAAATAAATCAGAGAGTGGTGCTTTAACAGACGAGCTTCTAGGCATCAAAGGTCCTACCATCTTATTAATCTAATATCTAATATTAATATTGTGTGCTCATTGTGTTGAGATTTAAGCAACAATTTTGTAATTGGAAATATATTAACCTATATCTTCAGGTAACTGCTGTATAATATAGCTAATATGGCAGCATAATCTTATGGCTTTCGATAGATGGCAGTATAAAGTAATGCTTGACATAAAGTATCCAAATTTGCGAAGAGCAGCAGCGTCAAAGGTACTGCAATCTTCAATCCGTCAACCAGGCGTGGAAATTAAGGTCAATCCCCCTACAATAGAAGATACCTTAGTTCAGCGTATATCTCATAAAGTCCTTCAAGAATGATAAAATAGAGGATTTGTGTTAAGGCTATTTGTTTTGAACAAAGTTTACAGTTATGATTAAAAACTTGGCGCAAATAAAATGAATCATTTATATTTTTAAAGCTACATGACTACAGGTCAATGAAAACGTCAGACTCCCATCACCATGGGTGCCGCAAATCAGTTGAAATAACGGTTATTAAAATTATAAGTATACTGAACGTGATAAAATTTGTAAAAATTAGTTTCTATTAAATTTTATTTAATAACGTTGCATGTATTTATATCGCTTTAAAGTAATTTACAGGCATTAGTTAAAATAATGCATTGACACTTATAGATACGTAAATTCTTATTTCTGTCCTTCAACATTTACCTCGATATTAAGCTTTGTAGCAAATGTAAAAGTCAAACATAAAACGACCGATCTAAATTTACTTTAACGGGCTTAAGTTTTACAGCCAGCACTGATAGAAACTCGAAGAAGGAAGTTTTTAGTGTTTGTACGGAAAAGTTTTTGCGCCTAATGGATGAGACCTAACGGCTATAACTTTTGAAGTGCAGCGCAAAATTTTGGCACAATGTGACCTTTAATGTTCAAAAATATTTATGGGTAATTTCTAAAAGGTTTATAACTAAATGTATTTTTTTTGAAATACCCTTCGATAGTGATTTCGCTTAGTTATGTATTTAAGTAGTCAATCATGACTTTTTCATTAATTAAAAAACCATCTAATTTATATTTAATAAACGATATAAGCTTACCGTAGTAATTTATTATGTTTAAATTCGCATTTTAAGAAATCGAAAGAAGAACTAAAATGATTTCATTGTCTTAATCTTTTATATTGAAGTGGGTTTTAATAATGGAAATAATGCAATATCTTAAATCAAATCAACAAATTATCTTTAAATAAATATAGTTTGTTGGCTCAGCTAGAAATGCGTGGGGTCTTTAGCTAAGAGTGATATAATTTTAATAAATGTAACATTATTATTTAATTTACTTTAACTTTTCGATTCTAAGAAATAATTATGAACCGTAAATATACAGTTCAGCTGTGTTTCGTAAGGTGAGTGTAGAAAACCGGACACCTTTGTCCTGGAAACGCGGTATTCCATCGTAGTTTTCAGAAGTGACAACGCATAAGCATTTTGATTTTTAGTCGAGGATAAATGTAGATATATGTGGGCTACATCATCCACTTACCATCACTGTGGATTGTGTGCTCGTTTGTTACTCTTATTTTATTTAAATATTCGTATTACTTAAAACGTATATAGTAATACTCGTATTATTATGTATTTTTATGGGACACTCTAGTCTCGAATCATAATAAAGAATCCGATAAATTCTCATTATTTTCTGTGGTTTAAATGTTGCGGACCATTCGAAATTTACTTTTCCATAGCATTTTTGCTGCGTAGGAGTTTGACTTCTCGGTACCTCTTCCTCTCCCTATAACGGGGGCGTTTAACAGCAGTGCGTCCACTTGTCTATTCAGTGTGAAGGGTAGGAGAACTATTCTTTATATTAGTTGGGGCAAACGAGCATGCGGCTCACGTGTAGCTTGTAAATATGTAAATATAATAATTCCAGGATATGAGACAATACGTTTTAGTTTTCTGTGATGATATAAAGTTGATAGCAAGTCTCCATGGTCTGTAAGAGTTTATATTACCAGGGGGACTATCAGCTTGTATACCACTTTAATATTATTAAAAGAGCAATTTTGTAGATATTTTACATAATTTTATTTATTTTTATTTTATAGAATAAGGGTGACAAACGAGCACACAGTCCACTCGATTTCAAGTAGTTGCTGTGGCCTGAGGACTGAGGACTGAGTTTGAATACCCCGTTATACCCGAATACTCACCATACAAAATACAGTAGTGCTATTTTACGCAGGTATTCTGTGAGAGTGTGGTCCTCCCCCGGTCGAGCCGACCCATTCGTGCTATAACCATAATATTGTTGCAGCGTAGCTCTACCACGTGTAAATAAACATAATTATTTATTGAATTTAATCCCTCTTGTAATTTTCAAATTCAAAAATATTTATTGAATTTCAAAATTACAAGAGGGATTATTATTGTTACCACACCTGCAACCAACTTCAAACAAAAAGGGCCATAGATGAGCTTTCATCCCTGTGAACTAAGTTAAATGATTCACAGACTGTATTTAATCTGACTCTCTATACCCTCCAAACTGGAACTTATAAGAGCGGGCCCTGTCTTTAGGTGACAAATGTAGGTAAAGTGTGGCATCTTCTCAGATGGACACCTAAACAAAAAAAAAGGTCCTTCTACCAAGAAAAGATTCCTATTAGCGAGAGAAAAATAAATATTTAAAATTTTTTGTAGTTTTAAATCCGTTTTTTGTGAGTAAGTAAATATAATAATATTGTAAACAATATATATTAATAATATTGTAAACAATTATAATCGAGTTTTACGAACTATTTCTAGGTATCTAATTTTGAATATTCTTTGTGTAACAATAAATT